CCCCAAAACCCCAAAACCCCAAAACCCCAAAACCCCAAAACCCCTCCTTGAAAAATAATGATTGAACCTTCCTATATACAACTGTTTAGTAGGTTCTGAGAATGGACAGTAAGAGGTCTTGGAACATGGGGTTACATTGGCACTTTTTCGGATCACAACTTCATGCAATCCTTGTTTCTATAAGCCTGTTAGGAGATGAATCAAGCTAGATTACTTACTCTGCAATTGGTTTATCCCCTGTTTCCCATACTTTTGGATGAATCTATCTAATTCGGACATTGTCTGGGTTCCAGTATCATGTGTGCGATCAAAATCTTTGGGATTGCATCCAAAGATAAAGTTATTGAAAGACTGTTTTCTCTTACTTATTTTCCCATCTTGGGTGTTCCTTGCTCTAACTTGTTCGAATGAAGACCAGTTCTAAAACATTATAGGATAAAATACATCTTTAGTTGATAAGAACTTAGTATAGTTCCAAAACTTCTCAATTTTAGCTTCAGAATTCCTCTTTACATGGGTTTGTTTTGGCTTAATATCTACTAATCAGTTTGAAAAATTACTCTCAAGGAGACTTTTATGTATCAAATGTGCATTGGTATCTGCTCTAGTAGAGATTCTCCTAGGTGTAGTCGTGATACTAGAGGCCTTCTTTTTCTCCTAAAGGATAAAGATTAAATCTAACTGATGTATTTCACAATGGTCTGAGTCTATCTTGCCTTCGTTTAGTCTACAAATCATCAAAACATTCAAACCTTTGAATCTTTGGCTGATTTCTTAATTTTATTTGGTCTTCATCCTGTGAATCGGCTTCTTTCCTTTACCAGTTGCAGAGCTTTTGTCTGTCTTCTTAAAGATTATATCTGGGTATATTCTATGCTGGTCTCTGCTCTGACAATTAGAAGTACCTACAGATTACACAATGGCTTACTTAGAAGAATCCCGTTAGGAGCCGCATTTTTGGAGGCAATTTCATGGTTATCTTTTGACTTACTGCGGGACAGATACATTTTCTCGAATTCTTTATCAAAAACCGCATTACTCTCTTTAGAATCTACAAAATTTATACAGTCGGATACCCTTGGACGCTTTATTCTTGGAATGTTTAATAATACTTTTGTGGGTCATCTCAAAGTGGTTCGAATATCTCTGAAATCTTGTGTTTTTCTTCGATTTCTTACTTAGACTTGCTCTCCTTCTGAGTCTTTGGGATGATCTCAACATCCATGTCATGATGCTTGAACAGCTACAAAGATTAAGAAGGGTCTTACTTTGTTAGGATCATGAAACTCAGTGTTCTTCCGAACATGCTTACCCTTCCTTGATGGCCGTTTGCTTGATTTTCCACAAAGCATTTCCTTGCTGATTACTGAGAAGTCTACTGTTGCAGACTTTTTGTGATTCGATTCCTTGACCGACTGGTTTTCTGTGCTCAGTTTTTGTGAATACAACTGTTCACCTCAGTTTTCAATAACGATAATGGGATCAGTGATTTCCTTAAGTGTGTTCCTGACTTCAACAGTATTGTTAGTGTTCTCACTAGTGATACTGAGACTCGATTTGGATAGATATTCGATAGAAGGGTCTTTAAGCCATGTAGTATTGTTTGTCTTCTTTTTCCGTCTAACTAATCTTCCTTTTGAAGATACCATCTTTAGAGGCTGAGGGTGCTCCTCATTCTCTTCATCATGTGAAGTTTCCATTGTATGAATGAAACTACTCTTCCTTGACAAGTTCGGTTGCTTCCAATCTGATTTGTGATTAGAATTTATATAGAATTTTAGCCTAAATGTTAGGTCAAACAACTAATTTTGTCAAATATGTATTAAAGTTTGCACTAGAATTGGCTCTCAGAAGGCCAAATCAGAGGTATCTCGAACTATTTTCTAGGAAACTATTTCAAAGAGGACATCCACCATACTGTAGTTTTTTCGAGTTCATTTTTATAATTTTAACAGTCAATTTACAGTTAGCAGAATGGGGTTTTGGGGTTTTGGGGTTTTGGGGTTTTGGGG